GCTACCAGAGCTCCTTCAGTAGCAGTTACATCTCAACAAACAGAAAAAATCCTCATGACTGATAAATGGAGACAAGATTGAAGTTGTCAAGGATTTCATTTTCCTTGGATCCACAATCAACACCCATGGAAGCAGCAGTCAAGTAATCAAACTGACTTGTTGCAACATGCAAATCTGCTACAAAAGACGTCTTTAAAATGTTAATCAGCAAAGACCTCACTTTGAAGACCAAGGTGGGTCTAATCCAAGGCTGGGTATTTTCAATAGCCTCATATGCAAGTGAAAGCTCGACAATGAATAAGGAAGACTACAGAAGTATTGATGCATCTGAAACGTGGTGTTGGTGAAGAATATTGAATATACCATGGACCATATTGAAGATACCAGAAGGACAAACAAATCTGTCTTGGAAGTACAGCCAGAATGCTTCTTAGAAGAATGGCCAGGCTTCATCTTTCGTACTTCAGTCGCGTTGTCAGAAGGGACCAGTCCCTGGAAAAGGACATCATGCTTGGTAAAGAAGAGTGTCAGTGCAAAAGGGGCAGACCCTCAATGAGATGGACATGGTGGCTGCAATGATGGGCCCAAGCACAGCGAGGACTGTGGGGAAGGTGCGAGACCTGTTTCGTTCTGCCGTACATGGGGTCGCTATGAGTTGGAACCAACTCGCCATACCAAACATTGCAGAGACAGCATGGGCTCCAGAAGTGGACTGACTTGGGTTCAAATCATGACTCTATCCTTTCTCTGTGGGAACTTGGACAAGTTCTCAACCATTTAGAATCGAAGTCACAGTTCTTCTAACCATCTAAACTAAACCTGTGACCACCAAGTTGATTCTAACTCATGGTGAGTGGAAACACTCATAGGGTTTCCTTGGCTGGAATCTTTCACAAGCAGTTCACCAGGCCACTCTTCTGTGGTGTCTCCAGGTAGGTTCAAATTGCCAGCCTTCAGATTAGCACTCAAGTGTAAACTGTGTTACCCAGGGGCTTTCTACAAGGTCCTACATATGACCTGGTGCCCCACCTTCATCTCTGATCCTCTCTTCTTCCCTCCCCTTAGCTCACTGTTCCAGCCACATGGGGCTTCTCACTGGTTTCTCAAACACACAAAACACACTCTGGCCTCAAGACCTTTGCACTTGGTTCCCTCTGCTTGGAATGCCTCTCCCCAAGCCGTACCAATCAGGGTGTGATCTTCTGCAAATACCCTGTTCAAGACAGTACCACCTAGCCTGGCTTGATTTTTGTCCATAACCTAGTCATTCAACATGGTAAATGTGATTTATGATGTCTCCACACACTAGAAATTAAGCCTGACGAGGACAGGGATTTTTTTGTTTTTTAATTTTCCCCTTGCCTACACTGCCTTGCTGGCTCACTTGCAGAAAAAGGACCCAGCTATGTTTAAGATCCTACAACATGCCAGATATGCAGCCAACAGTCAATATTTACTAAACTAATGGAAGTTGAGGAACCAGAAAAGTTTATGAATTCAAAGCCCCAGGGAAGAGCAAGTAATGGAGCATCCTTCACAGACGAGCACCATGTCGGGCACTTGCATACTGTCCCGTTCATTCCTTACAGTCCCACCAGGACGGCAGGTTCCACCATCTTCACCATATATGCAAAGAATCGGACTTGGTGGTAAAATGAGTTGCAGGTGGGAGCTTCCACACCAAGAGCCATACTGGTGCCCACATCAGGGTAACAGGCAGCCAGGATCAGGAGGAAGTCACTGAGCCTGCCATTGGTGCCCCCAGGAGACAAGCGCCTACAGCAGGCCCAGCCCTGCTGACAGGAGACCCCAGCCCTGCTGACAGCAGACCCCAGCCCTCCCAGGAGCACTGTACATTGGCATCAAGTCACGTAGTTTTTCACTCATTTCATCATCACATAAGATGGGTCTCAGACCTGGCCATCAGCCCGGGTAAGTCCCATAGCTAATTAGTGACACATTAGTGAATCCAGGTCAATCCTTCAAGTCAGTGGCTCCTTCATGTTCCCAAGCCCCTTCATAACCAGAAACTTCAAAAGGAACCAACTACACACAAGGCAAGCAGAAGGCCCAGCTCAAGAATCCACAGCAACCAAGTTTCCTTAAACCCTCAACCCGTCTCTTTAGAACTAACACAGGCCCATCTATGTGGGCTACCTACTGCTGTTCTACCTCCTGTTCCAACCTGAAGTAACAAACTCAAGTTTCGGAAACCAAAGGCCTGCCTTTGCTACTTACTAACTTGACCTTTGGTGACTCATTTAACTACTCCAGCCTCCTTTTCCTCATCAATAAAGCCAGGATATCAAGTCTACCTTTCTCAAACCGTGCTCGGACCTGAGGTCCAAGCTCCCTGAATAAAGACTCTGAAGCTGTAAGAGCAGTGTTGAGCAGGTGTGATGAGATGACTACCAGCTTCAGTGAGGTGTTCGATTATCTGTATCATCTGTGCTGTCACAAACGATCAGATACCAGCCAGTAAGCCCACAGTGATTGCAGGTGCTGGGTTTTGTGGTGAAGAGAAGACCCAAAGACGGGAGACCAACGCAGTGTGTTTGAGGGAGGGTGACAGAGAGAAGAGATAGTGCAGGGGCATCACTCCACTGTGACTGCTGAGCACACGACACGCACTGTGACGGTCAGATCAGCAGCAGCAGGGCTGTCGAGACAGCAGTGTTCAGAATCAGAATACCTGGGCAGCAAGAATGGCAGAAGAAAGCAGCACTTTGGAGCCAAATCTTGGCTTTCCTATGCTATGTGACCTAAGTCACACAATTACCCCAGCTCCGTTCTCTCATCCAAACAGTGAAAACAATTACAAAAACCAGAGCTGTAAGGGTGGAACAATGTACAGCCAGCCCGGGCAGCGCTCCCAGCAGGGGGAGTTGTTTAATAACGTTCCCTCACCATGCCAGCGCCTCCACTAACACATCATGTAAATGACGGTGCGTCGTTTAAGACTCAGGATTCTGGGGAAGATCAAATGAGACAGTGACTGGGAAGGAGCCCTGTGCAGGGGAGAGTGCCTTATGAAGGAGGTAACCCACTCTACACACCGACAAGAGACACATCGGGTAAACCTTCACCACACACGGGGACCACGTGTTGCCACCCACCCAGATTCTCCCAGCAATGAGACAACAAATCTGGTCCCGAAGAAGAAGATCCTTTACTGAGATCTACTCAAAACATTTCTGTCCTTAATTCAAATAAATTTCAACTCAGTTGACAGCTACAGCAGATCTGGATAAAGTCTTCGCAGTGGCAAAACACACTCTGTCACCAAGGACCTCGGAACAGGTCTTGACTAACACATGTGAGAATACGCTCAAGGCCTCTGTCCAATCTTCTTCAGGGTTCTATTGAGCTGAAAAGAAAGAAAACCAAGTCAGACACATGGTGTCCACCACATCTGTCCCCATAGCATGCAGGACGACTAGGTCGGAGACTTCTCAGCGTCCCCTGAAGTCAGGGGAGGAGCCCGTGGTGTGAGCTGAGTGTCCACTAAGGGCACAAAGCCCCATTAGAAGCCTTGTCCTGACACCCACGTGGCCCCACACAATCCATGCAGACCATTCTCTCTGCCCTTCATACCTCCCCACCTTCCAATACCCTTTACCAATTTTATAGACAAGGAAAGGGATTCAGAGGGGCTTGACCGGCCAAGGTTACTAGTCTAATCTGTGAAGAATCAGGGTTGGAACTCAGATTTTGACTCCCTTTCACTGACCAGGATCCAGCCAGCACCCTGACAGCTATGATGTGGAGTCTGAAGTCCAGTGGGCACTGGGCCTGGATCACCCTCCTGAAGGAGCCTGGTGCACGGAGCACAGCAGAGCAGCGACCCCTGCTGGAGGGCTCAGAGCGTCAGGCTGCAGCGGCTGTAGCTGCGACCACGAAAGCGGACCCGCACCCTTGCGTTTGGCCTGACCCACACTTCTCCTCAGGCAAGACGCAGGGTGCACCAAGTCTGTCAAAACAGGGCTCCCTGTCCTCCTCCCACAGGAACTGGCCAGACCTGTCTAAGATGGAGAACAGCTGCCAAGTGGGAAGGGTGGGTAGGAGCAGGCAGTGAATCCACCATATTAGGAAATACCAGGGAGAGAGGGCCACCCTCAGAGGGAGATCTTGGAAAGAGACGCTTCAGAGGAAGCTGACACAGCAGCTCCTCCAGCCCAACCCCTCTCCCCAAACCCCAAGCAGCCAGCCAGTCTAGCTCAGAAACTTAAAGGGCCAATTTCAGGCTTCCTTGGAAACAGAAATGAGAGATACAAAATTAAAAGAGTCCCCAGCCGTTCCCGACTCTATCCTCTGCCAACGCTCTGTTCTCTTAGACCTCTCACCTCCTCGAACTTATGGATCTGGCGGATGAAGAAATCCCCGTAGCGCCTGGCAACCTTAGTGTCTGCAATGTGGATCATGTCCTGTGGGGAAAAGCAGAGGCCGAGAAGGGAAGTTAGGACGGAGGGGTCGGGACCACTAACCCACACGCCACTGATGGCCTGTGCCGGCACCCCTGACGCCGAGGACTCTACAAGGGCTTTCCACGAGCAGAGGACACCACCACGACGAAACACGCCAGCCCGGGGACAGCACCGCCAGCTGGTAGTCTGTCTTTCTCGGAGGCTGATTACTCATCTTCTTATTGTAAACTTTTTAATTTTCTAGTCTTTTTCAATGAACATGAATCTTTAAAAAATAAAAAAACAAAAACCAAACTCACTGCCATCGAGTCGATTCTGACTCGTGGCAATCCCCTTTGGGTTTCTGAGGCGGTAAATCCTTACAAAAGTAGATTGATCACCCAATCTTCCTTCTGCAGAGTGGCTGGTAGGCTTGAACCACCAACCTTCTGGTTAGCAGTAGCACTACGCCACCAGAGTGACATTTAAAACAGGTTTTATTTTCTCATATACTGCTGATGGGTTTGTAAATTCAATCAGTCTTTAAATTTTCAACTCATAAAACATTTCATAGAACACCATCTACTTGCAAAATTTCTCCAAAATCTTGGTTAAGGCCCAAGAAATTTCAGAACCTCTTAGACAGATTTTTCAAGTCAAGGATTAAAAGAAAAGCAAAAACAAAACAAAAACCCCAAAATCAAAAAGGAGCATTTTGCCAAAGATTAACCTGAATAGTAACAGAGAAACCGTATAAGCAAAATAAAAACATGCAATTAACAGATTCTTAACTACAGGGACTTTAGCATTTAACTCAACTGAATTAAAGTAGACAAAAATATGAACCATGTTTCAATGAGCTGTATAGTAAAGGAAATGAAAATTTGTCCCTGTATCACCTTACCACGTCAACTGAGTCTAACTCAGCAGCACATGACTAATGTGACTTGAATATGACCTCACAGCACAACTTCAATGTTAATTCCTGGGAGAAGTGTTTTATAAACCACCATACAGAGAGCTGGGACTAGTTAGGCTTGGGCAGGAAGGAACATACAACAGAAAAACGAGGTCCCAACCTGGGATCTGTTTCTTAAATGCCTTCTTGTTCTAAGGACCATGGTTCCACAGGTTGATTTAAAAAGCAAAAACTCAGTCACTAAGAGATGACAGGGGGATGCTGCAGGAGACTGATACTGCCAAAGAACAAGTTACCTCAGGCACTGAGACAATGCACTCAAAAAGGACTTCGGGTGGCTGACAGGATACTGGGGGGTGAAAGGGAGGCGGTTTTATTTGACTTTCAGAAACATGATTTGAAACACTGAGAACATTTGGTGAGGTTATTCATGCGAAGGGTTGCTAAGGGCTGCCAAACACCAAGTCTGCCCAAAGCCAGGCATTTTAATAAGGATATTCAGTTTAGCAAGATGGACATTCCAAAACAAACTGTGCCTTATGACCCAGCAATTCCATGCCCGGTGTCTACCAAGAGATTTTAGAGTGTATGTCCACACACAAAGTTGTGCCTGAATGTTCACAGCAGCAATACCTACCACAGCCCCAAAGTGCAAACAACTCAAACGTCCATCAACTGATGAATGGATCAATACAGAGTGGTCTATCGCTCAATGGAATATTACTCAGCAAGAAAAAGAAGTGAACTACTGATACACGCTACACCACGGATGAACCCAGACAGTCTTCTAAGTAAAAGCAGCCACATACTGCATAATTCCATGCAGGTGAACTGTCCAGAACAGGCAAATCGGTGACAAAAGAAAGCAGACGAGTGGTTTCCAAGGCTGGGGAGGGGGAGATGGAGAGAGTGCTACCGAGTAAGGGGTTTCTTTTTTGGGGTGATGGAAATGTTCTCGGATTAGACAGCAGTGATAGGTGTTGTATACTTTAAAATGAAGTGGCTGGTGGGTTTGAACCGCCAGCCTTCTGGTTAGCAGTCAAGTGCAAGTGCCTTAGGCACTATGATACCAGAGCTCCCATACTTTAAAATAGTGAAGTTTATGTTATGAGAATCTTATCTCTTTAAAAAAGAAAAAAAGAAAAAAAAAAGAGCTCTATTTCCAGTAATACATTACACAGACCAACCAGTGTCTAAAAACAACTGAAAATGCAGGATTAATTTTTTTTTAATCTCCTTAAATCACTAAAGAGCTGACAAGAGACTAAGGAAGGATCTAAGAGCTGGGAAAGGAATAAAGAACTATTTGAGAGAATACGGAAAACAGGGGCCCTTGCCGTGAGGCTGAGGGGACTAACCAAAGCCAGGGCCCCTCTGACAGAAGACCCTCCTATAGTAAGTTGGGACCTCAAGGGTTACATCCCAAGGCTACGGGGTGAGCCAGAAGTCAACTGCCGCCTCACTCCCGACACACACAGAGGTAGCCAAGGGGGAGGAGGAGAAAAACGACCCATCCATGAGATGTTACAGCCACAAGGTGACTCTTTGGCAGCCTAGGCTTGTTGCCAGAGTGGACCAGGGCACGTCAGGCTCAGTTCATGGTTGTCCCAGACTAAGGTCCCCAGGCCCTGAAGAGGCAAAAGCAATTCTCTAGAGGAATGAACAGTTAACCCTGACCTAAAGAATACCAACGATTTTTCAAAGACAATGAACCACAGGTAATAAAAATAACCTAGCACAGAAGAAAATAAGGCACCATAAGTTTTTTAAAAAAAGAGGACATAAGAAACAGCTGCAAGAAACGCATGGCTACAACAATCAGTCAAAAGAAAAAAACTTTCGAGGAGACAGGAAGGTAAACATGGGAGAATTCAAGAGACACCGTGGCATGACAGACAGACTGAGGTCTAACATACATTAATCTCCGTAATTCAGTTCCAGGAGGAGAATGGAACAGAAACTCAGAAGCCACAGTGACTGAGAATACCCCCAGACAGATGAGAGATACCAGAGACCTCCCAGATGGCCCGAAGTTGCCAGTGGTTCCTGCTCCTCCCTGGCGAGTGTACGGGTGTGTGGGGAGGAGCAAAGGTGGGTGGTATCTAACAGAAGATGCCAGGCATCCAGTTTATTAACTTTAGAAAACAAAATAGCAACTCAGTTCTCTGAAAGGCCCCATTAGGTTTTAAAATATCCAGCATGAACTTAAAATCACAACAGGGAAAACAAAATCCTCCTTGTTCCTCAACCCGCCTCCCCTCCCATTCGGCCACTTGTGTGTCCTTCCAGAAATAATGCTATGCAACCACAAGCATAAATAAAAATGTTACTTTAATAAACCAAACCAAACCATAAGGGGGACCACTGACAGCCACTCTGTAACCCAACCGCCCATCAACAGAAGATGGATACACTGCAGCAAACAACTGCAGCAGAGGCCTTACTACTACTGAGCAGTGGGCATGACCGAATCACCACCAGACCCAACCCTGGCCAGCGAGCCTCTCAAATGTATCGTTGAGCAAAATAAGCCGGACACAAAGAGCACATGCCGTAACTTCATACTACAATGTTCAGAAGCAGGCAGCACTAAGGCATGGTGAGAGAAGTCAGCGTGACAGCCGCACTGGGTGAGGGCAAAAGGCGGGCTGTGGAGACTACATTCTACTTCTCGGTTACACAGGGGTGTTCACTTTGCAAAATGCAACAAGCTGTACGTTTTCTATCTGTGTACTTTTATTTATATGTATTGTACCTCAACCACAGTTTACTTATAAACCAACCCCATACACTCGCTTGAACACAAAATTGGGAAAGGCACTCTCTCTCCCAAAGTGGGAGACTTTAGTCTTTCGTAATTTTTCATACACTTTTTCTGAGTGGGGAAAAAGCCTCCCAGAGAAAATATGGACAATTTGCCGTTAATGCTGGGTGAGACACGTGCACTGAACGAAATTATGTAAAATGAACAGCAGGAAAAAAAGATAAGGCTTGAAACGCAAGCTTAAAGGACTGTAAGCCCCAAATGAGGTGACCGTGTACACCCAGTCTTTTTTCTTGTAAGTTCGGTTCAACTCTTAACGGGGAGAAAGGATGAGTGACAGCAGCAGCACAGCTGACAGTCCCAGGCACTGTGAGAGACTGCTGCTCTAAGCACCTGACACCTACATGTGGCATGTCATACAACCCCCCCAGGAGCCCTCCTGCTGGTATCATCATCCTTTCTCCAACCTGCCCCCAATAAGGCACAGAGACCACATGACCTTCTCACGACCACATGGCTCCTAAGTGCCAGAGATGAGGTCTGAAAATGATTTGGACCCAGGGTCTGGCTCCAGAGGAAATGTCTCGTCCCACTGTGGACAGGGGCAATCAAGGCGGGGAAAGGTCACCATAGGACTCTGTTTTCTAATTCAGCTGCAATGTCAATGCCGTTGCTCCTCAAACCATTTAAAAAGGGCAAAAGGAGTTCAGGTAACACTCCTCACCACCTCCCCCTCCTTATCCAAACCACTACTTTTCACCAAGTGACCTCTAGCTGCTCATCACAGCAACCAACCCTCCGCTGGCCTCGCACTTGCAGGCGTCCACCCCAGTCCGCCCCGCAGTCAACAAGACGTCTCTCTTCCTCCCCTTTCCTCTGACCTCACTCCCTAGCAGGGCCGCCTCGCTCAGGCCACTCCAGCGTCCTTCACACCCCAGGGCTTGCTCTTGCCTTTGCTCTAGCTGTTCCCACCGCCTGAATGCTCTTCCCCCAGATACTGCTTGGCCAACCCCCTCACTTTCACTTCCTTCAAGTTTCTGAACTTCACTTTCTCAACAAAACCCATCCGGATCACCTCATTTAACACTGCCACTCGCGCCGCCCCCCTGCTCCGTAACACTTGGCAACTTATAAGTCACCACATCATTTGCTTAGTTACAATGTTTACCGCCTACTGTGTACCTGTCCTCACTAGAACGTAAGCAACACAAGAGCAGGAATCTCAGTTGATTTTGTTCACAAATGCCTGGAACAGTGCACAGAAGGAAGTGGGTGCTTGACCGCCATCAGCTGCTGAACAGCAGAGCAGCAAGTACCCCCAAGAACCCAGCCAGTGGCAACCATACCTTATCGATGTAGAAGTCCACCTCGGAGGCCGACTGAAATTCACCATCTAGGGCAGAGATGCCGCTGGTCCACACCAGGTTCTTCATCTTGTGCTTGAAGACCAGAAGCTGGATGCGGAACTCCTGCTCGGTGAGGTCCAGGAAGCCGGCCAGCTTGGCCACAGGCATGGTGGTGTACAGCTTGAGGAAGCTGCGGATGGTGGAGAGCTGGGCCTGCTGCTGCACCTCGTCCGAAAACACCTTCAGCTGCTGCAGGAAGGGCTCCTTGTGGTAGTTGGGGTGCACATTGTCGTAGTTGGGCACCACGGGCGACAGGAACTTGGGGCAGGAGTAGCTGAAGAGCTCCTCGTAGACCTGCGGGTCACCCTTCTGCATGCGCAGCATCTTGTCGCCGTACTTCTCCCGCAGCTGGAGGTGAATGCTCTCATCAATGCGCATGGGGTACATGGTAAGGGCGATGGCCAGCAGCGCATGCATCTGCTCGTTCTGCTTGTTGATCTGGGGTGGGAAGAGTGGGCACAGATGCGTGCAGGGAGCACAATGAACGGACCTTCTGAGGTGCCCCTAACAGTGGGGCCCTCTCCTCCCAGGCGCACTTGGGGCAGCTCTCTGCCCTCCTCTTCTCGCACTGCTCAGTCAGCCTTCCCAACGCCTCTTCCAACCCTCCCTCTTGTTCCACTGAATTCCCCAGTTCCAGGTCCTCCTCAGCTGTCACTTGGATTCTTTACTCAAACATCTATCTACCTTATTCAATCCACCCCACATATTACTGCAAGGTCAGCTCCCACACTAGTTATGATCAAGTCACCCGGAAACCTCTCAAGGCACCTCAATCTACCCCCACCCCTCAAAAAACTAAGCATGTTACCTGAGTAATCAAGGTTACTCCTGAAACTCCTGTCCCACTCCCCTCTAGCCAAAATGGTTGACTGTGTGGCCACATCATGATGCTCTCAAGTCTCACCGCCTTTGCTCATCCTCTATACACACCTACACATGTGTACAACCCTACACTATACACACCTGCCCATCCTCAATGACAAACCCCTTAAAGGTTCTCCACATCTACCTTACTATGTAAACATCCTGCTGCCTGGCACATAGTGATCACTCAACAAACTGCTGCTGAGTAAATAAATGTAAGGCACTGGGCACTACCAGGGAGTGAAAGTAAAAGAGAAGACAGCACCCTTACTGTCAAAGTGTTAACAATTTGAAGTAACAGAAGTCATTAACAGGAATGCTTAGAAAATAAGACAATTTGGGATGGCGTTGACCAAAAACTTTTGGCCATGGGGTGAGCAGATGAGAATGGCCACAGGTAACAAGGCCCCTCACCATCTCATACTTGTACGTGGTCCTCTGGAACATGCTCTTGGTCCTCTGGATGTAGAGGAGGATGTTGGCGAAGACTCGGATGGCATCTTGGTAGCGGCGCATCATCAAGTACGCAAAACCGACGTAATAGTACGTGGTGACCTGGCATTCTGGGACCCGGGAGTACATGCTCTGTGGAAAGAGGTGGAAGCAAGCAGCAGCCGTGAGCCCCAAGGTCAGTGCACCTCTGATAAGACCTGGAAGTTGGTGATGCTGACATTCCCCTGCAGAGCCCCTGAACTACCCAGGGCAAACCATGGCTATGGAGTTAGAGGACCTGACAACAGGTCATCCTGTTCATTGATTAAGTGGCACGATTTGAGGGCTCCTTCCTCTTAACAGGAAGAGCAAAGGGCTGGCCCCGATGACCCCAAAATCTCTACCCGCTCTAAAACTCTTCATGCAGTCTCACATTCTTCCTCGCTTCCCAAATAAACCTTAAAAAAGAGCAGACAGGCAGAAAGGCACACAGCAAAAGCCAAATAAAAAAATACCTATTTTCTGTGGTTCATACACACGATGGAGTGTTACTCCGCCATAAGGAGAAATGAAGTCCTGATAAAAGGTACAACATGGATGACCCTTGAAATACCATGCGGAGTGAACTAAAGCCAGTCACGGAAAGGACAAGCATTACATGATCCCACTTACGTGAAACATTTCGAACAGAAAAGTGCACAGAGACCAACGTTTACTAGGTTACCAAGGGCAGGAAGTAGGGTGGAAGGGCAGGAGAGGGTAAGGAAAACCCAACGCTCGGCAATGAACTTCTGTCAAGGGTGACGGAAGAACAACACGACAAATAATCAATGTCACCGAATGACACAAGAAGATTGCCGAAATGGCAAACTTTAAAAAGAATCATTTTGTTGTTGCTGAGACTACACACAGCAAACCGCACGCTGACCCATTTCTACACGGCCAATCTGTGGCACTGACAACATTCGTCAAGTTGTGCAAGGACTCCCACCGTCCTCTTCCAGGCTGCCCCCCTCACGGACATGTACTCGCCAGGTTTCCTCTCTAACCCATCAAGTTGTTACCTGTCACACCGATGCCACACAGGCCCTAAAAGAGCACACTGCTCGAGGGAGGCACTCTTTACTACTTAAATTTTAAGACTTAACATTCAGGCACAGTGGCAAACACCATCCAGTTCCTGTCTCACAGCAAAGGAAGAAGCTGTTCCTGGAGGCAACTGGCCACACGTTCCATGATTTTATTACCTGCATATTTATCATAATTAACACAAACAATTTTTCTCTCTGTGTCAAGAAAAAGCACCACAATCATGTGTCAATACCTGTCCATCTAAGAAGTTATTCTTCAAGTTCATTTTTTAAGACTAGCAAACCCTGAATGATAAAAATCTGCCATATTATTTCTATGAAAACAGAATCAAAAGGCTGCTGAGTCTGTTGAAAGTGCTATTAAACAGAAAACAGAAGACTGAAAAATGATAGAACCACTGTGGAAGTCGGTATGGCGACTCCTTAAAAAGTTTGATCCAGCAATCCCGTTACTAGGTAGATATCCTAAAGAAGTGAGAGGCAGGACATGAACAGATACATGCACACCCATGTTCATCACAGCACCATTCACAACAGCAAAGAGATGGAAACAACCTACGTGCCATTAACCAAGGAATGGACAAATAAACAATGATATATACATACAACAGAATACTACACAACCCTAACAATCTGCAAAACACCACGTAACGTGGATGAACTTGGAGGACATTACACTAAGTGAGATAAGTCAATTACAGGACAAATGTTGTATTAGTCAACTATTATAAAAAGCCAAGGAAACATTTATACATGTAAGGAAATTTTCTTTGTTGGTTACCAGGGATAGGGAAGGAGGGGAGGCTAAATTCCCACGTAAGTTGGGGAGAAGGAATATATATACATATATATATAACACATACACATGTACAGAAACCAAAGATTATCAGTGGTTACCACGGGTAGAAGGAAAGCGGAAAAGGGGAACCTTTGCGGGGCACTGAGTTGATGCTAATGGGAGTGGAATATTCTGGAAAAGGATAGCAATAGTGATGGCATGACATGAAAAATGCCATCAACATCCCTGAGCTGTACATGGGGAAGTTATGTTGGCAAATGTCTTGTATATGTTTTCTCAACAATAAAAGCAAAAAAAGAAAAGAAAAGAGTAAAGAGAAGCCATCCTGTCTGGGTCCAGATCTCCCGGCCATTGGCCTGGGGTAGGGTCCTCTTTCCTCTCCCTGAAACTGTCCTAGGAGATCAGTTTCTCACGAAGTAGGCAGACATTCTGGCTCAGGGAAGATGGGCTGGAGAAAGGGGCCTTTACCTTCTTGTTCAGTTCAATGTTCTCCAGCACCTTGATGGCCTGGTAGTAATCCCCCAACAGCGAGTGCAGGCGCAGGAGCCCCACCAGGCTGAAGTAGCCAAGCATCTTGTAGAGGGAGTGCCGGCCATACTCCCCAGCCACACTCTCGGGGTCACCTGAAAGACAGACATGTGGCCACTCAGCAGGAGGCAGGGAAGGGTGGCAAGTCTACCCATGACCGTCATTCAGTGACCTCTTCACCTGCTGCCACCCACCAAGGCTTCATCAGCAGGGAGTAACTGTATTTAAACGAGTACCAAGTAATAGCACACCTGGCATTATGCCAATCTTCACTTTACCAAAAGCTATTTGCAGACTGGCAATGAATTTTTTATGTGTCCCAACACACCTGAGAATATGAAAGGGCCCCTCTCATCAGTACATTATTCACCAACATCCCTCTGCTCCCAGAAGTCCTTGAAGTCAAAGCCCTTTTCCTAGGAACACTGAGATGCTATTGGTCTCTCCCACTGTGCTGACATTTGCAGTGATGATGCAGAAGCAATGATGCAAAATGCTGACAACTCAGCACTGAGCAGGCAGCAAACCATGCCAGCGGCCACCTGCACAAAGAACTAACCACTTTTCTCAGGGAACACCATCTTCACTTGGAACGACGACTGACACGCCAACCGTGGTTATGTGGATTTGGTATCTGGCAGACAGTTTCTCAAAAACAAAGGAAGCAAGCCTGTCACACTTCAAGGAAAACAACCAACAGCTGCCAATGACAAAATTTGAGCTCTTAAGCAAAAATGAGAATCTGTAAAACTTACATCTGCTATACTGAGAGCAAGAGCTTCCCAAAAAAGTTATGTCTGGTGAAGCAAGTGGTAAAACAAACAAATGTGATTCTTCTTGTATAATAAAATATTACCAACACTTAGAAGATCTTTCTAACTCAACAAAGCCAATATTTTCCAAATGACCAACACATGGTATCACAAAATCATGCACAGGAAAAAGCCATTCAAAATGCAGGACAGACCAAGGGACTTTAATGTAACAAAGTAAGTGTTCGCTAACATTTCAGATTCAACACTGTGACTCATCTGTATGAAACGACCACTTGTTGAGTTTGGTGTGGTATCTAAAAAACCACCACAGTATCTAAAAAGACTATTAAAATACTCCTTTTTTCCAACTAAGTATCTGTGAAGTCAGATTTCTTCATACACTTTAACCAAAATAGCCCACTGCAAGAGACTGGAAGCAGAAGCAGAAATGAATCTAGCTATCTGCTGGTGAAGGAGCTCTAGTGGCACAGAGGTTAAAGCATTCGGCTGCTAAACAAAAGGTCAATGGTTCAAACCCACTAGCCGCTCAGTAGGAGAAAGATGAGACAATCTGTTTCTGTAAAGATTTACAGCCTTGGAAACCCTATGGAGCATACTACTCTGTCCTACAGGGTCACTATGAGTTGGAATTGACTTGATGGCAATGGTTTTTTGTTTTTTTTTTTTTAATATAAATCTTCTAGTAATCCAGATGCTAAAGAGATCTGCAACAATACCATTCTTCTCACTAAACCAATTTTCAATGTCAACAAAGTTCTTTGTAGTTCTCAAGACTCTAAGAGTATAAAGGGATTGTGACACCCATTAAGTTTGAGAAGTGTTATTTAAATAAAGGAATGCAGATCCCAGTGAGAGCTGATTCAGCCTTGTAGCTGCCAAGGCCAGCAGCAGCAACATCAGCTCCCAAGTACTGTTCACACCCAACCACCGAAGAGCAGCCCAGGGCCTAAGAGGCAGCGACGCAGCTTCTCTCCCTGTGGTGCCCCATCCACTCACAGGCCACAGCCAGCAGCCGTGGTACTCACCTCCGCTTGTGTACACCTCCAGCTGGCGGTTGATGTTGGATTTGTCCACCAGGGAATGAAGGACATTGAGAACACTGTGAACATTCCAGATCTTGGGATTGGAACGAAGGAAGTCGATCTCCTCTTCCGACTTTTTGGCGGTCTTACAGCGGTACTGACTGAAGGACTGAAACTGATGAGGAAGCAGGGAGAGATGTAACAGTGGTAAAAATCCAAAGGGACGGACCAAGCCCACATGCTGGATAGGAGGTGCTGCCAAGGGCTCTAGACGGGCCCCTAGGACCCCAGCTGTTAAGTGGCTCTCAGGGAGGGGCAGAGGACTGAGGAAAGGGATGGGAGCCTATTATTTCTCATTCTAAACCATTCTGTACACTCTTTTTTCACAGACATCTTTGTTCAAGCTATGAATTTAGCTTATTACTGAGTTTGCTACTTATTCCACATTTAAGTAAAAATCTTTAAGATTACAATTACAGCAACCAAAAAGTATGTGTGTGGTTACACAGGCAGACAAGTATGCATGTGTATGTACACGAACGCACAGAACCTGGCTGAGTAAATATACGAGTGTGCATGTACAGGTGTATCTGTAGGTATGTGTGTATGCTACATTTATGTGTGCTGCGTATATATTCATATGTATAAAAAACTACATAGGAGGCAGAGTTATGGGTACTAGGAGCTCTGGTAGCATAGTGGCTAAGTCACTTGCCTGCTAACCAGAAGGCTGACGGTTCAAACCCACCAGCCACTCCTTGGACGGAAGGCTGGGCGATCCTACTTCCGTAGTGATACTGCCTCGGAAACCCAAGGAGGGGTCACTATGAGTCGGGGCCGACTCGACGGCACATAACAACAACAACAACAACCAAAACATAACCAAACATCTCATGGGTCTGAAAGCTTGAGACCACAGCTGTCGGGACAATATGGTCAATTAGCCTAACACAGTTCATGAAAACAATGCCCTACTGTCCTAATTCTATGAGTAGCATCTGAGGTCTTAAGCTTGCGAACAGCCATCTAAGATACAACTATTGGCGTCTACTCACCTGAACAAAGGAGAATGAAAGAAACCAAGATCAAAAATTCCCGTGCCTGTCTAGGGGGAGGCAGACTTACTGGACCGAGAGACTATAGAGGAACCTCGAGACTAATGCCCTAAGATACCCTTTGAACTTGGAACTAAAGCCACTTTTGGTGACCACCTTTTATCCAAATAATAGACTGGCTAATAAAATAAACAGTATCACTTGTTAATAATGGGCTCCCTTAAAAACTGCATGAGACCAAACGGTCAGCATTTTCCTAAAACAAAGCTGAGAAGGTGGGGCAGGGAAGCCAGACTAATGGAGACAAAAAAGAAAGGAAATAATGTAACCAACATTACAGAACAAGAATTGTATAACAATTATTAAATGGGAATCTAATTTGCTATGTAAACTTTCCCCTAAAATACAATGAAATGTATATTTTTAAAATTCTGTAAGACTGTGGTAGTTTGTAGAAAACAACATTCAAGCTGGAAGCAAACAGAGCCTAGTCACATAACGTCTCAGACCCTCACAGCGCCACTAACCTGGCTGCCAGGATCCCCACAGGCAATCTTATACCAGAGTACAAGTGGCTACGCCATCCCAGGGTGAGAACCACAAATAGTAACCCCCCAGGACAGAAACTCAGCCTGAGTCACCTCTGTACTAACCACAGAACCGGCCAAGGGTAAGACACACACCCAGGGGTCGTGTCACAAGTACTTGTCGGGGAGAATGGTTCTACCTGAGACCAGTGCTGGGCTGGCTCCGTCAGTCACTTGAAGAGTACTGCAACAGACTACCTCCTCAGAATTTCGAAGAGTACTCCAACAGACCTACCTCCTCAGAATCTCAGAAGGCTCCCTGGTTGATCCAGGGGTGCACTCAGGTTTGGAAATCAGTGACCTAGTATTTAGGTCCTAGATGAGCTAAGATCTCTTTTCAACTCTATTATCTAGTATTATCTTCCTCTAACAGTATAGGATAACTTTCCAAATTTACAATAAACAAAGATTAACATCTAGAAGATAAAAAATTCCTATTAAAAAAAAAAAAAAACTCATTAGGAAATCAGGCAAAGAACACTGACTGACCATCACTTAGATGTCAAACTTCATCAATTATGTAATTACAATTGCTATGCTCTATTGTACATAAATTATGTCTCTATAAAGTTGAATAAAAAATTTTTAAAGTATCCTTCAACCAATAATTCTGCCTCTAGACTGTGATCCCTAAAGATATACCTACATGTAACACATATGAAGATACTATTCATGACAGTGAAAACAGAAAACTCAAGCATTTCTACTCAGAGAAGCAGGACTCTCATATTGTGTACATTGCAGCAAAAAAACAAGACAGGTACGTACGTAGACACGGAAAAGTGGTCCAAGTCAGACCAAACTGCACAAGAGAGTATGACACCATTTCTTCAATGATGTACATGCTTATATAAATGCCTGAGAAATACCAACGAGGTACCAATCCTTCCAGATAAGAATTAATGCCTCCGCAAAGATAAGGAAGGTAGGCACCTTAACAGTAGTTTGTTTTTTTTTTTTTTAAAAAGCAACAACCGTTAACATATTTATTATTTGTATAAGTGTGGGGGTGGTGGTGGCAGGAAGAGCCACTGGGCCAGAGTGGCATTTGCCTAGCTGGGAAGAATGACATCTGGTTATTTTCTGCCCCTCACGTGACAGACGTCTGTTAGAAGCAGAAAGCACTTTCATCAAGCACCTTAAGAGAACACCAGCTAAGCCCAGGGGATTACAATTCTCTTAAAAGGATGAAGAACCTCAGCACTAATGATCCTCCTTGAATTACTGTGAGTCAGCAGGACTGCTAGCCATGTGAAGTTACGCCAAGGGGCTCACATAAGCCAGGAGCTGGAGGGTGAACCAAGCTAGTGCGGTCTGTGGTCTCCACTGGAGAAAGGCTCTGACTCGTAAGCTTAGGCAGTGTGCCTCTGTCACAACTGATCTCCAGCCCTCCGTCCACCCACAATGTCTGCGGCCCACAGTGCTCAAATAACATTCTAAATGAGAAACCTTCCATGATGGAAAAATGTGGACATGGATAATGGTGAGGGCTGCACAACGTGACAAACACAATTAACATCACTGGACTATACGTGTGAAGAACGAGAAAAGCCAGGGAGGAAGGGGAAGCTGAGAAGGGGTACAGATGAAGAAGACGGCCGTGAGGTGGCAACTGCTGATGCTGGGAGATCGGACTATGGGGGTCCATCACACTATTCCCTCCACTTTTTTATGTGTCTGAAATGTTCTATGATACAAGTATTAGTGAATGAGTACATATTTATATTTTAAATTAAAATACCTCAATAACCCTCCCCACAATCTCTGCTTTAGAGATAGAAACCAAGGCATAGCATGGTAGGTAATTTGCCAAGATCCAGTAAATGGCAAAACCTGAGTTTCCAGCTCTGGTGCTACACATCGCTGGACCTGGCAGCTGGTCTGGTTCTCAGTGGCACCTCAACAACAGCACCCTGAGGTACATGGACTTGTTTGGATAAAACGTTCTATTTCACTCTGATAGTCTTAGCACACAGCCAAGGGACCACCACCACAATCAAGATAAAATATCTGTTTTGCTGGCAAAGAGAGTGAGACTCAAAGGCTGTAAACGACACGTCATGGTTACAAAACTACCAGGTGGCAGCCCCTAGACTGGAGCCCACTTCTCCCAGGCTCCAAAGCTTGTGAAGCCTGTGTTCTTCCTGCCAGACCACCTCCCAGGTTAAGAGTTTTGGGGAAGTCAGAAAATCCGCTCTCCTAATCTCCACTTTCTTATCTGGAGCTTGCAGGCCTCACTACTACTTTAGAAAATCCTCCAACTGACGTGGGTGCCCACTGCCACAGGCATATTTTTATGCCCTGCCATCTTTTCAACACCACAAACAATGGAAGCAGCTGCTCCTTGCGGGAGCCAGTTTTCCAACCCGGGGACTTCACCTTGGGCCAAGGCGGACCAAATACCTGGTAGATGAACTCGTCGATGATGTCCCAGAGCCACTGGTTGGGCAGTTCAAGGGGAGCAGGACCATCAGCATCTGCACAGGAACAGCATTCATTTTACCCCAAATCACAGAGAAGTCAGGTTGGCAGCAAGAACTCTGCCCATTCAGTAAGGCTGCAGGTTTATTTATAATTTCTTTCTTAAAATGATCGTGAGTCACAGACTTTCCTCCCCACTTAAAATCCTGCTGAACGAGCTGGAGGCCACAATGGTCCTCATCAAAACCTCACTTACCACTTGGCCCAATTCTCATACTTACTAAGAATGTAGTTGAAGAGATTACAGTAGTTGTAATAGGATTCAAACCTCTGCTCCAATGAGGGTCCCCCCTGCAAAGAGAAGACAGACATCAGAATACAGATGTTCAATTTAAATGAGTCTTATTCTAAGAGGCTTGGTGGCACAGAAGTTAAAGCACTCAGCTCCCAACTGAAAGGTCAGTGGTTTGAACCCCCTAGCTAATCCATGGGAGAAAAATGGGGCAATCTGCTTCTGTAAAGATTACAGCCTGGGATACCCTATGGAGCAGTTCTACTGTGTCATACAGGGTCACTATGAGTTGTGATCAGTTTGATGGCAATGCATGTGCTGGTTTTGTGTGTCTTATTCATGGCCTATCATGAGGGTTGAACATAAACACAGGAGAATCAGCGTCTGTCTTCTTCTGATAGCAGGGAGCACTCGTGTCAGAGACAAGTGCCATAGCGGTTCAAGAGGCACTGAACACCGCAGACCACAACGGTCAGGAGTTAAGCACACAGACCTCAACTGGTCCCTGAAAAATAGGCATGCATGTCCAGCGAAGCAGATGAGAGAGACAGGGAAGGTGTGTTGCTTAGAAAAGCAGTACGAGTAAAAGCAAAGAGGTAGGGCCGTGGTGCCTGAAGGGTGGGGAGGATAAGAAAAAGGCAGCTACCGTGAGCCAGGATTGCAGTCTGTGTGTCAAACAAGAACCTAAACTAGTCAGCTACTCAAAGCCCACAGGCCAAATCCAGCTCACCACCTGCTTTTGTAAATAAGTTTTACTGGTACACAGCCACACCTGCTTGTCACATAATTTCTATGACGGTTACAATGATGAGCTGGGTGGTTGCCATAAGAGCATTATGGTTCTCAAAGCCTGAAATACTTACTATGTGGTGTTTTATAAGATGTCTGCTGACCCCTGACCTAGACTTTACATTGCTGGCATCAGAGAAACACTTTAGCACTGAGCTGGGAAGGATACGATGATCAATGTGGCTGTGATATAGAAAGAACAATGTCTTGGTGTCTTAGCTCCACCATTTACCAAGCATGGGGTTCTGATAAGTTATTTAGTCTCCCTGTGAAAATGGGAATGAAAGCAACTCTTAAATGAAATGTAGTTAAACTGCTTCTCACAGTAAATGCTTGTTCAATGAAAAACACTCACTCAGCATTTTAAACATTGTCATGGATGGCAAAGTGCCTTGTCTGACATGTAACAGAGAGGTTATGCAGTCAGTAAACTTGCCACATCTTCACCTTTCAAAGACTTATGTTTGACAATATGTCTGACAAGCCACTGGGCAAATCTGCTGCAAAAGATCTTTCTAAAATGTTAAAAAGCAAATATATCATTTTGAGGGCTAAGGTGCATCTGACCCAAACCATGGTATTTTCAATGGCCTCATGTGCACGTAAAAGCTAGATAATGAATGTTGTTATGTGCCATCAAGGCGGACCCAACCCACAGCAACCCCTCCTTGGGTTTCTGAGGCAGTATCACTATGGAAGTAGACTGCCCAACCTTCCTTCCGAGGAGTGGCTGGTGGGTTTGAACCGCCAGCCTTCTGGTTAGCAGTCAAGTGCCTTCGGCACTACGCTACCAGAGCTCCTTAGATAATGAATAAGGAAGATTAAAGAAGAATTGAAGGATATGAATTATGGCATTAGGAAAGAGAACTTAATATAGCATGGGCTGCCAGAAGAAAGAACAAATCTGTCTTGGAAAAAGTATAGCCAGAACGCTCCTTAGAAGTAAGGATGGCCAGATTTCATCTCACATACTTTGGACACATTATCAGGAGGGACTTGTCCCTGGAGAAGGACATCATGCTAGGTAGAGGGTCAACAAAAAAGAGGAAGACTTAACAAAATGGAGTGACACAGTGGCTGCAACAATGGGTTCAAACCTAACTACAATTGTGAGGACAGCACAGGACTAGGTGGTGTTTTTATCATGCACAAGGTTGCTGAGAGTCAGAACTGACTCAGCAGCTCCTAACAATGTTTGACAGACCAAACAGAACATCGGAAGTGGTAAAACCAGCTAGAACACGGCCACACGAGGGCACTGGCACCATGGTCTTCCCAAAGCAGCAGCATTACACAGGGCTGGCAAGATTCTCATCCCAGCTCACGAAGCCCACCAAGCACAAGAAATCTTTAGTTTCTATCAGATAAGGGAGTCAGAGACCCCACCGAGATGCCACCAAAACATGGTCTCCTGCATTACTTTGGCAACAAGAATTCCTCCAGCTTCTACCACTGATGGAGGCTCCTGTGGTCAAGTGGTCCCGAGAGGATGAGAGGTAAGTAACTGAGGAGCTAGGACCTCCTTAAATGGAACTACTCCAAGGAAAGGTCACAGGGCCAGCTTCCTTCATTTACACATACCCACAAGCTCATGTGCTCAATACAGATACCGTGTCATCATCATCAATCACACTAATTCTAGCCACCAGATTTAACAGCTATCACAACAAAGACTCTGCCCTCATTAAGCTTACCTTCTAGTGGGCAAAGTGAACAAGTAAGTAATGTCAGCTAGTGGCAAGTGCTCTGAAATGCCTGAGTATGGCCAAGAGCCCACAGCGAGGAGGGAAAGTTACAGAAAATGAAACTAGCAAGGGGTCAGGAGCCTGATCAAGTAGGGCTGTGGCTAAGATTGGGATTTGATTCTAAGCATGATGGAAAGGCACGGTGGGATTGAGAGGAAGGGGGTGAGGCTTGTATTTCAAACAGACCATCCTGGTTACTATGATGAAAACAAACTTTAAGGCGGCAAGACTGAAGTAGACACTGATCAGCCTAGTAGCTACTGCAGAAGATTAGACAAGAGATGACAATGACTTATATAAGAGTAGGCGCACTGATGGTGATAAGTGGCTGGTTTTAAGTACGCCAAAGACAGGTCTGGCCAATTAGATTTGTTGTGAGGCCAGATGGAGAGTGAGAGAAAACTCAAGAATGAGGCCATGATTTTCAGTCTAAATAACTGGTGGCACCATATACTGAGATGAACATGGGACCAAGAGGCTTAGAGAAAAATAGGAATTCAGTTTTGGACATGTTAAGCTTGAAATATTTACCAGCCAGCCGGCCAACTGGAGATGTTAAGACAGATGGATAGACAAGTCTGGACTTCAGTGGAGAGACTGAGATTGAGGAAAGATTGAAGTCACTACAGATAATATAGGGGGCATTTTAAGAGACTTGGAGCATCCTGAAATTTAGAAATAATGAAGAGAAGAATTCAGCAATTGCCAAAAGTCAAGGACGTGTAGTAGAAAAAACACTGGTGTTACAACTGGCCCTAGGTTCAAGGAGATTTACCCTTTACTTGTTGCATGAATTTGACAAGTAACCTCTTTACACCCCATTGGCCAACTCCACAGGATCACTGTGAGGAACAGAGATGTGGAGATGTGCATCTGGAACGCGTGTTACGGGCATTTCAGAGCGTGGACGCTCAGCAGCGATGCACTGAACGGAAACAGGAAGGGCTCTCCAAGCAGCGGCAGAAGGGCTGAGGAATACCTCAGGAGGGCAGCGTGTAGTCCAGTGCACAGTGAAGAGCACCCAGTCGAGAACTAGAGCAGCGAGGATGGTGAAATTTAAACGTTAGAACAGACAGACCAGTGAGTGTTACAGTTTGTCTGGAACCAACACCCAGCATCCTGAGTTCAAACTTTCTCTGCCATTTCTTAAAAGTAGAGAAAACGTAATGGACACCCTTAAACACAGAAAACAGAAACTAGTGGCTGTGTTCTAGGAGCACAAGGCACAGCTGAGAACACCGTAAGCCATACTGAGATACTCACACTGACTTTGGCATATATGTGCCTGTAGTATAATTCTTTGTACAGAATCAGGAAGACAGCATCTGAAAGAGATGGCAGAGGGTGCTTTAGTAACCCGTAAAACACTATCCAGGGTCTCCTGGCAGTTTCATCCCTTCAGGAGGGGAAGGGTATCAAAGGATAAACATGACTAGCGACTAAATAACATCTGAACTCTTACGCTTATACCCTAAGAATACATGCAACGAGAAAATTCATTTCTCATCCTCCTCTTTCAACCTCACCCTAATCTCAGACTCCTTTCCCTTCACCATTTAGAGGCTTTTGCCAACCAGTTGTCCAAACAATCTTGAAAAAAAGCACAAAGTTGAGGATGTACACCTTCCAATGTCAAAACTTACTATAAATATAGTTACCCAGGCTGTGTGGTATTGACACGAGGAGAAACACATACATGGATAGAATTGAGAGTTCAGAAATAAGCCTTTACATTACAAGATCAATTGATTTGTGAGAAGAGTGCCAAGAAATCAACAGGGAAAGAAGTCTTTTCGACAAATGGTGCTGGGACAACTAGAGGTCCACATGCCAAAGAATGAAGATGAGCCTGCCGCCCATACCTTAGTCAAAGGACATCATTAAAAAAGTGAGAGAACCCACAGGATGGGAGAAAACACTGCAAATAATGAACCTGAGAGACAACTTTTATCAGTAATATATGAAGAACCCTTACAACTCAACAATAAAAAGACAATTAACCCAATTAAAAACTGGGCAAAGGATTCTAACAAAATTTCTCCAAATGGTCAGTAAGCACACGAAAAGACTGTCAAGGTCACTGCATGTTACTAACTGCTGTCAACTCAATCCTGACTCCAGGGGACTCCATGTGTGCAGAGCAGCTGCTCCAAGGGTTTTCGAGGCCGTGAAGCAGACTACCAGGCCTGCCTTCTGAGCATGTCTGAGTGGGTTCAAAATGCCAACTGTTCACTAGTAGTCAAGTGCTTAACCTTCTATGCCACCCACAGAGTCTTCGTTAGTCTTCAGAGATATGCAAATCAGAATCACAGTGAGATACCACTGCCCATCCATTAAGATGGCTATAATCAAAAAGATGGCTAAGAGCTGCCATTTTAACCACTACTGCCCCCCCATTAGAATTCTTATGCCAGAAGAATAAAGCTGCAGAAAAGCCAGTTAATTTTCAAAAAACAGAATTTAAGAGACTATCTTACAGAATTTCCTAACATCCATTGCAGAGGTGAAGCGATCTATCCAGAGATACACAACTCCATTTATTTCACTGAATGCTCTTGAGCTAAGAACCGTAGGGATTCACGAATGAGAAACATCACCTGCTGCTAAGGACCTTTCCCACAGCACGCATGCAAAATGATTCCAACTCCTCTAGGTGAAAACAAAGTGCTGGGGGAACTCAGAGAGTGAAGAAACTCCTGCCAACTAGAGGCAGAGACTGCAAGGAAGAAGAGTATTCTCAAGACAGTCTTGGGGAAGGCCTGTTACAGGACACCTAGAGAGGTAGAAGAGGACAAGAAAGTCCATTCCAGAGATGTGACAACCCCCAAAATCAGAGGGAAATGGAAACCGGACAAAGATCTCTATTTCAGTTCTCACCATGTTATAAGAGATCTTTGACCCTCTTTCTTTATTCAACCTTCACTGAGTAAGTATTTAAGTGCCTACTATGCACCAAACCCTAGGAAAATAAAACGGTAAGGAAAAGAGACATACACTCTCATGAATTTGCTAATGGCCCCCAATTAATTTGATTTTGTAGTTTTCTATTCTCTTTATTCTTCACACAAGCTTTAGGTCCTAGAAACTTGGATCTCCTGTTTGTAACCATCTAACATCCATTCTTCCGTGGCTTTCTAACTCTTGCAGGATGCACACCCCCAGCAACAGAATCCCATCCAGTACACAGCACACAAACATCACACCTACCGTTGCCAACCTGCGGCGCAATGGCTTCCGCCTCAGGCCAAGGTGTATTCTTGAAGAATCTTTCAGTCAGCTTGGTCCAGCTGAAAGCCAAACAGAAAAAGTCCAGAACTCTAAAACAAGAAGGACCTGAAAGCCAACCCTCACATCTCAGACTCAAGAGAGGGGCAGCTACCGTGGAAATAGCTGAGGGCCAGAACTCCCCAAGGCTGCAGCTTTCTGGAACCTAACTCTGTACCTCAGACCACCTTTCATGTCAACCTTTAACATCAGTTAGGCATCACCAAGCTTTTCAGGATCATCTCCTGCCTCTGTAACAGGAACCTGAGCTGTATTTAACTGCTTACTGTTCCCCCATGAGACCTATTAGCCCTCAACATTCTTTAGCCATGCTGTGCCCCCTCCCTGGAACACTGTGCCTCCAGTTCCCTCTCCAAACATGGAACCACATCAGCCCACTGTGGTCTGATGCCACAACACACCTATAGCATCCAACCCAAGCACTGATGCCCATGGTGCCTCACAACGCTACAATGACCAGGCCTCCGTGCATTCTCCTTTTCTTGATCCTCTTAGCAGCTACCTGAACTTCTCCCCTCACCCCGACCTCTCCCTCTTCTCAAGCTCTTTCAGTTCAGCATATGAACATGTTCAGGTCCCCCTTGAAAACACAACAAAACAGAAAGTTCCCTGATGACCTTTAAGTCCTCTAAACTTACCAATCCTCATTTCTCACACTACAGACTAACCTCACTAAAGTTACCAAGGACGCTCTAATTCAATTGGCTCTTCTCATCTTGACCTCACTAGAGCATTTGACACCTGTTGCCCCTTCCTTTTTCCTTCAAAGTCTCTTCTCTGTTGGTTCCATGATGCTTCTCTCTGCTAATTTACTCCCTACTCATCTGCTCTCCTTCACCAGGTTTCTGTTTCCTTTGCTGGTTTGTTTTCCTCTGCTCAATCCCTAAAGAAACAGACTTCCCAAGGCACCAGCCGGTCTTCTCACTACACATTCTGTTAGAGAAGGATCTACCACCACACGCTTGGCTTCAACTGCCTGCACCGTCCAACACAGCAGCCACCAGCCACATGTGGCTACTACAATTGAGGAATGGAATTTCAAATTTTAATTTTCATTAATTTTAGACAGCAATACTCAACTCAGTTACTGAAAAACATTTACTTGAAACAAGCTGAGTATGTCAATCTTTCTCAAGGGTAACTTTTATGAAAACTACAGATCGAGAATTTCCAATGAAAATTTATCACACAAATTGAGATGTGCTATAAATCGAAGTACACACTGGCTCTAAAAGACTTAGAAGAAAGGAAAAAAGTAAAATATTTTGGATACAGTAAATAAAGTGTTATTAAAATTAACTTCAGCTTATAATGCATCTACTGAACATTTTAAAATGAGTATCTAGCATCATGTTTCTATTGGACAGGACTGGTCTATGTATCACTAACTAGGAAAGCATGGGAGATGAAGGAAACATAACTCAGGGATGAAGGTACACCTAGTCATTGATTAAATGACTGGACAATGAATAAGACAGAAGAAGAATTGATTATTGGATTATTGTGTTGAGAAAGAATATTAAATTACCACAGACTGACAGAAGAACGAGCAAATATGTCTTGGAAGAATACCATAAAAATGATCCTTAGAGAGGAGGATGATGAAACTTTGTCTCATGTACTTTGGACATTATCAGGAAGGACCAGTCCCTGGAGAAGGGACTCATGTTTGGTAAAGAAGAGGGTCAGCAAAAAAGACCCTCAATGAGACAGACTCACACAGGAGCTTCAACAATGGGCTCAAACATGGCAACGACTGTGAAGATGACACAGGAGTGGGCCGTGCTCCGTTCTGCTGTACTTAGGGTGAAGTACTATGAGTTGGAAACAACTTCATGGCATCTTCATAACAATGACTTGTTAGTTATTGATCCTGCTATCGCTGGTATGACTCCAACTCATAGCCCTCACGGAGCAATGGTTAAGCACTCAGCTGCTGATCAAAAGGTTGGCAGGTCAAGTCCACCAAGTGTTCTGAGGGATTAAAGACCTGGCGATCTGCTCTTGTCAAGGCTATTGTTAGGTGCTGTTGAGCTGTTTCTGACTCATAGTGAGCCGACGTACAACAGAATGAAACACTGCCCAGTCCCACGCCACCTTCACAATTATTGCTATGCTTGAGCCCACCGCTGAAGCCAGTGTGTCCATCCACCTTAGTGAGGGTCCTTCTCTTTTTTTGCTGACCCTCTACTT